ATCAATTCAAAGTTAAATTCTACTTTCAGAGTATGATAAAATGGTTAACATATAATTTACATGTTGAAGCTTTTTAGCTCACCTGAGCCGAAGGCTCAAGTGAGCTTTTCTGATCACATTTTGTCCGTCGTCCGTCTGTCTGTCCGTCCGTCTGTAAACTTTTCACATTTTCGACTTCTTCTCAAGAACCACTGGGCCAATTTTGACCAAACTTGGTACAAAGCATCCTTGGGTGAAGGGGAATTTAAATTATTAAAATGTTCTCAAGAACCACTGGGCCAGAAAAGCTGAAACTTATGTGGAAGCATCCTGGTATAATGTAGATTCTAAATTGTTCAAATAATGACCCCCGGGGGAAGGGCGAGGTCACAATGGGGAATCAAAGTTATATATAGAAATATATAGAACAAATCTTTGAAAATCTTCTTCTCAAGAACCACTGGGCCAGAAAAAGTGAAGCTTATGTGGAAGCATTCTGGGGTAGTGTAAATTCTAAATTGTAGGAATCATGACCCCCGGGGGAAGGGCGGGGCCACAATGGGGTATCAAAGTTTTACATAGAAATATATAGGAAAAATCTTTGAAAATCTTCTTCTCAAGAACCACTGGGCCAGAAAAGCTGAAACTTATGTGGAAGCATCCTGGTATAATGTAGATTCTAAATTGTTCAAATAATGACCCCCGGGGGAAGGGCGGGGCCACAATGGGGAATCAAAGTTTTATATAGAAATATATAGGAAAAATCTTTGAAAATCTTCTTCTCAAGAACCACTGGGCCAGAAAAAGTGAAGCTTATGTGGAAGCATTCTAGGGTAGTGTAAATTCTAAATTGTAGGAATCATGACCCCCGGGGGAAGGGCGGGGCCACAATGGGGTATCAAAGTTTTACATAGAAATATATAGGAAAAATCTTTGAAAATCTTCTTCTCAAGAACCACTGGGCCAGAAAAGCTGAAACTTATGTGGAAGCATCCTGGTATAATGTAGATTCTAAATTGTTCAAATAATGACCCCCGGGGGAAGGGCGGGGCCACAATGGGGAATCAAAGTTTTATATAGAAATATATAGGAAAAATCTTTGAAAATCTTCTCAAGAACCACTGGGCCAGAAAAAGTGAAGCTTATGTGGAAGCGTTCTGGGGTAGTGTAAATTCTAAATTGTAGGAATCATGACCCCCGGGGGAAGGGCGGAGCCATTATAGGGGAATCAAAGTTTTACATAGAAATATATAGGAAATTTCTTTGAAAATCTTCTTCTCAGGAACCACTGGGCCAAAAAAGCAGAAACATATGTGCCCATGGAAGGATCATGGGGTAGTGTAGATTTCAAAATGTCTAACTTATGATCAGTGGGGTAGGGTAGGGATGCATTATGTATAACAAGGGGGAAATCTGGTAAAGAACAGAATGGTCAAAGCTTCTCAGGTGAGCGATGTGGCCCATGGGCCTCTTGTCTTATGTGCCACCTATTCTCTAATTTATACGTTGTTTCATGCAATATTTTATTGACCAAGTCAAGGGTCCCGTATGACATTCTTACTTACAGATGTACATCTAAACATTACTTGAATATAGTTCATGCACAGTTACAAACATGAAAATTTAATAATCAGTTAAAATCATATTCGGTGTCAATGAGAACAAGACAATCTAATATGTTTAGATGGTGTGAAATGGGCCTCACCCCCTGAAAATCCAAACAATATACACACTTTCAACGGTAGAAATTTCCTTCAATTTAATCTCGGCATGTGATTGTACGCAAAAGTTTCAATTATTTGCTTTTTATACTTTTTAATAGATAAATCTCATTATGCATAATGTGCACAGTCGGTAATTCTCGGCTTACTCCGCTATACTACATTCAAACAGGTATACGAACCATCCGAGGAGCTCCGAGTGATATGTGTACGCCGTACACCCACCAACCCAAAGAAAATAAATAAAATAGAATAAAATAAATGAAGTCACAAATAAATGATGATTGTAGGATTTTTTCAAAAAACGTAGTTAAATTTTACTGAAAAAAATCCTGACTTTTCATTCCTATAGTCAGGTTATCACAGGGTGGGTAATTCTGAAAATAATTAAGAATGTCAAAATTTCTTTCATTTCTGATTTAAAAAAAAATAAATCATATGCAGTAAACAGACAGGTATAGAAAGCAACTTCATTTGTGGGAAAGGGCTTTATAAAAGGTTATTATACTGAGATAAAAAAGGGAGTCATCAGACAATATTATTACAGTTCATAAAAAAAAGAGTTCGTAAATATAAGCATTGATTTTGCAATCGCAGTGTAAATTGAGATAGTTATTCTGCAACACTAACAAAAAGGGGTGCACAGCTTCCCAAATATCAAATTATCATGATCATCTGCAAATATCATCTACAATAAGAAAGAATACGGAACTACCGAGGTTTTTGAAAAAAATCTGCAAAACTTTACTGATGATGTGAATTTCAAGACAATGATCCGGTACTTCATTCATCGATCAAATATTTGACCAATATTTTTTTAGAAGGAGGGGTGGGGTTGGGGATATGGTGAATGTAGAGTGTTTTCAAAGTGGTTGTGGTTGAACTAAGAAAGAAATACGTAAAAACGAAAATGAATAATTAAAGCAAAATTTAAAGGAAAAATAAATTAATTAAAATTAATTAAGAGAGAATAAAAAAATAAAAATTCAGAATTTATCCTTGAAAGGCTTTCCTTTCCTTAGTAATAAAGAAAAATTGCACATACAAAAAAGGGTGGTGTAATCAAACCATTTTTAAAATTACAATATTACTCAAGATGTGCTCATACTTTTAGTCCAAAACTTATCTTTTTGCCTGAAATAAAATAAGTAATCAGAAAATAAAACTAACGGCCTACATGCGTCTGATTTTACATGACCTTTTTCGATCTTAATTTTCGACTTTAACAACATCAGCTTTACCCAAAGTTGCCGTGTTTAGTTTTAATTTATTGCAATTAATTTAGGCAATGAAAACAAGACCACAAATAAATTTTGAAAATGACCCACTGTATATTATTTTCGCATTGCGTCATGCAGATTTTAAAGCTCAGACAGTTGCGCCAAAGGTGACGTGTTAATGAGTCCGTTCGTATGGCTTTCGCTGCTTCATCCTTTATGACATGGCTACAGATACAGGTTCCTAGCTGCTGCGTTCATATTTTTTTTTAATATAATATGTATTGACAAAATGCTATTTCATCTATGCTAGAATCAGTGAACTTGATTCAAATATTTAATCTCTGATGACAAACTTTTGGCACTAAGTCGCTAATTCTCGATCCTTTCTGTATAACAGATAAACAATCCAGGATGTGTTACATGTAACCCCCCCCCCCCCCAAAAAAAACATTCAGTTGAAATAAATGCAGGGGACCACTTGCTTATATGTAGAGACTAAAGCTCAGCCGGAAAGGCCAAAGAAGCGATTGTTTTCAGAGCTTAAGGTAGAAACATACATTGATTTTTTGATGAACATTTTTGACAGCTCACGAATAAAACCAATCATAAACAATCAAAAATTGAATTTGTTTATATATTATTTTGGAAAAATTACCAGTAAATTTATAAATTGTACATTTTTCAAGACAGTTTTAGGCGTGTCTATTTTTTTAACATATCTATTACGCAAATATATTTTTTGTTTTGTTTTATCGTATGAATTTTTTTCTATCAGCAAATGCACCGGCGCCACGTCACGTCTTTGAAGCGCTATTGTGACGTAATTACGTTTATGTCACAAAGGCCCCTTTTCGCTTGACGCAATTCAAATAAGATAAATATAAATATAGATGTGAAATAAATGATTATTTACACCACTTAAATTGAGTAAAATATTTTGAATAAATTATTCTTATTTGCAAAGAAATAATTTGCTTATTTCAATGTAAAAACAGATTTTATAAGCAATTAAACATATCGTGATACATATCGTATCGTGGCTCAAATATCGTGATACGTATCGATATAGAAAAAGTTGTATCGTTCCAGCCCTAGTAGTAAAGGTATTTTTTTTAAAAAATGAAACCAAATGACTGTGATAAATAAACACATAGCTACATGTAACTGCAACTGCATGGGCTAACTGTGAACACCGGGTTACAGTGCAAATAAAAAGAAGCGATATCATGGGATTCTTTAAATTTTAATTCTACCTTTTTAGCAATTTGAAGATCATCTGAGGTGGCATTATTGATTTTAAAAATAAATATATTCGATAAATTATCGATTGTACTTGTATTACTGTTAACAGACGAGAATTAATTAATTTTGAGTGACTATTGGTAAAAAAAAGATGTTTTTTATTAAACAATTTGAAAAAACTTATAAATGGATTTTTAAAGAATCCATGTAATGGTATATATCTATAATATTAATGTGGTCGTAATCTTAACCCCCCCTTTCGACACGATTAAAAAACGACAAGACTTTACAGGTAAGAACATCTAAGCTGAAGAATAATGGTAGCTGGCCCCGCCGCGGTGTAAACACGGTCTCAGGTAGCACCGCGATCAAAACCCGTGACCGTGTAACACGGAAAGGATTAATACACCGCGGAGGGGACGCGGTCTAATACGGGATCCGCATTGCCTGTACTGTAGTAAAACATGCATATCACAAAGCACTAGGGACGGATGATTTGCTTTATTATAAGGGTAATTCGTTATACCCATTAAGTTTATATTTGTCTAAGTCTTGGGGGATAGAAAATCAGTTCATTGTAAGCATCATTTCATTCTAAACATGTTCACTATGAGCAATCCCTTCACCAAGTATGACATTTCAGAAAGTCTCTTTTAAAAAATTGCATTTTTTTTAAATATTTAAAAAAAATGCAAAGCATTTGTTAAAAAGAATGGCCTTGCTTGTTTAAACCTGACATACATGTATGTGTTCAAAATGCAACTATTGGAAAAGTAATATTAATAACAATTTGAGAAAGAAAAAATAAAAAAATTAGTGTTTGCATTTCATAATATAGATGGGGAACCTTCATGCATCTTATTGCCATTACTGAAATCCCAAATCCATGGAGAAGGAAACTGGATGATGGAAAAGATATAACAATAAATACAAAGAATAAAGGAAAAATGGCACTAGAGTTTTGCGAGAGGTTCATGGCTGAACCATTGCCAGATTATCCAGATGATGATGAAACGATAGAAGAACAGTTAAAAGAGGATGAAAGAAATCTAGCTAGGGAGAAGATCAAAAACATTGCAGAAACAGGTGAATGGCAGAAAATAAATATTACATTTGGATTTTCTTCAGGATGGTATTTTTTCAAATTTATCTTGAAAGAAAATCAAGAATTAGACAATAGTTCCTTTGTAATATAGGTCATAACCCTTAAATCAGCTGAATCATATAATCATGATGAATTGAAGTTATGCATTCAATTCCTTGTACTTTTAAATTAATCTTTCATCTTCTTTATATTTAATATCATTTATTTTATGTATTATTTATATTAAATCCTCTTCATGCAATTCATTCAGATTGTATCTGCTGGGGGAAGCATCGGGCCACAATAAGGGCTGAAATTTTCAGATTTAAAAAACTTTTTTAAAAATTCTTTAAAGCGCATATGAGCTGAATTTTTTGAGAATTTTATTTTGTTATTAAATTTGTCTTTATTATAAATTTGTAAGGAATTTAAATCTTTATAATCAATAAGACTTTAAAAAAGTATTAAATTGTATCAAAAGAAAGACCTCTGTACAATCAAATATTTAGTAATAGTATTATTTAAGAAAAAAAAACATAATTGAGTCATAAAGAGCTTGTAGATAACAAGAGGCCCATGGGCCCCATCGCTCACCTGAGTAACTTGGGTGATACAGTTCTTTACAAGATTCCCCCTCTTGCTAAACCTATCATGCCCCACTACCCCCTTCCCTTTCATGATTTTAAAACTTTAGAATCTACACTACCCCAGGATGCTTCCACATAAGTTTCAGCTTTCCTGGCCCAGTGGTTCTTGAGAAGAAGATTTTTAAAGATTTGTTCTATATATTTCTATGTAAAACTTGGAATTCCCTATTGTGGCCCCACCCTACCCCCGAGGGTCATGATTTTAACAAATTAATATCTACACTACCTAAGGATGCTTCCACATAAGTTTCAGTTTTCCTGGCCCAGTGGTTCTTGAGCAGAAGATTTTTAAAGATTTGTTCTATATAGTTCTATGTAAAAATTAGATTCCCTATTGTGGCCTCGCCCTACCCCGAGGGGTCATGATTTTAACAAATTAATATCTACACTACCCAAGGATGCTTCCACAAAAGTTTCAGCTTTCCTGGCCCAGTAGTTCTTGAGAAGATTTTAAAAGATTTGTTCTATATATTTCTATGTAAAACTTGGATTTCCTATTTTGGCCCCGCCCTACCCCAGGGGGTCATGATTTTAACAATTTAATATCTACACTACCCAAGGATGCTTCCATATAAGTTTCAGCTTTCCTGGCCCAGTCATGGTTCTTGAAAAGAAGATTTTTAAAGATTTGTTCTATCGTAAATCTGGAAATTTTTGCTGTAGATAAATTTTTTGCAAATTTGTGAGTTCATTGCATTCTCAAAAATATTTTTCTTAAAAATAAATTACCTATAAGAAAATATAAACAAAGCAGTGGTCATTTGCAAAATTTTGAAACGTAAGAATTAATCAACAGCATTTTGACCCGAATTCGCAAAATAAATTGACGTAAAAATTTCCAGATTTACGGTATATATTTCTGTGTAAAACTTGGATTCCCTATTGTGGCCCCGCCCTACCCCCTGGGAGTCATAATTTTAACAATTTAATATCTACACTACCCATGGATGCTTCCATATAAGTTTCAGCTTTCCTGGCCCATTGGTTCTTGAGAAGAAGATTTTTTAGTGACTCCACCCTATTTTTGTCTTTTCTTGATTATCTCCCCTTGTAAGGGGACTTGGTCCTTCATTTTAGAATTTAAACTCCCCTTCTTCCAAGGATGTTTTGTACCAAGTTTGGTTAAAATTGGGCCATTGATTCTTGAGAAGAAGTTGAAAATGTAAAAAGTTTACAGACGGACAGACAGCTAGACAGACGGACGGACAGACGGACGACGGACTAAATGTGATCAGAAAAGCTCACTTGAGCCTTCAGCTCAGGTGAGCTAAAAACTACTACAAATATAAAAAACAGAAGTTTAAAAATGTTTTTTTAATTTCTCTGGCCTTGAAATATTTAATGACAATTTTTGCAACAAAGAGTTTTGACATCAAAGTTGCAGCTCATATTGCTTTAAAACTATTTTTTTCAAAAACCATAAAACCAGAAAAGCTGAAACTTTTGTGGGAGCTTTTTTAACTAAAGGTAGAATTTGAATTGTTCACATTGATCATGTTCCTTGGATTCAAGATGGGGCCACTGTAGGGGAACAAAATGTGGAAACTTCCTGAAGTTGCATATGTTGTAAATTGTTTAGACCATTGTTCCAGGGGTTGGACGGGGCCACAAAGGGGTATCAAAATTTTACATACATAGGGAAAAAATTTCTCCAGAACCATGCAATGGACTTGAAATTTAAAACTATTTGAATACTTCTTAAGGTAGTGTAGTTTGTATATTGTAAAGATCATGGTCCCCAGGAGTAGGGTGGGGCAACAATTGGGAAACATGTTTGAAACTCCCGTACTCAAAAACAGCAAAGCCTTGTGATGAAAAAATATGAAAATGGGTCAATCCTTTAAAAGTGGATATTCTTTTTTCTTCAAATCACTGCCCCTGAGAGGCCACAAAGATGATCAAAAATTTTCATAGGAATACTTGTTTCTTAATCCCTTATTTATATGCATAAAAAATTGATGAAGTTATCATGAGTCTTATAAATATCAGTTATATTTAGTTAGTGTATATAGATTCAAGTTTGTTCAAATCATCTATTCTAAATCTGGAGAATATATATAGGGTTGGCACACATAACATTAAAATGTTTCAATTTAATACTAAACTGAATTCTATTTTTCACTAGTGAAAGTGCTCAGAGATGTATGTGGCCCATGACCGGGTTTTTTGCTTAATTCCTTTTGATAAATGGCCTTGTTTTGCTTACAGGAACTAAAGATAGAGCAGGGCAAGACTTGCGAATGTCATTGAGAAACTCAATAATGGGCAGGTCAATGAATAGAGACTCCTACAGTAACAATCTGGAGAGGTCAAGGAAAATTACCCTAGGTAATGCAGATTTCCTTAAAAAGTCAGCAAAATTCCTTGAAGATATTAAAAATCCAACTGATGATGAAGTATCAAGAGTACGCTACAGGAAAAACAAACACAAGGATAAATTAACCCCATATATTGGGAAGACACTACCAGAAAATGAGAGTGCAGGAGTCAGAAGGTTTGGATCCACAGCACCTGCACAGAGAGATTTCTTGGAAAAGATGCGATCACATAGCACCCTGACAGAGAGATATAAGCTAGGGGCTACTAGAAGGGAAACCGGGGCAGCAGGTATTGGAAGGTCTTTCAGAAGAACTGATGATGTTGACACAGAAGAGGATATTTATGATGAAATTCCCGCTACAGGGACACTGGGCAGAGCTTGGGTGAAAAAGATGCGAGAATTCAATAAGCCGTCATCCTCCACTGTACGGAATGGAAGAACTAACAGTGGTTATGTAAGTAATAAGCTACTTCAGAGAATCTGTGTCCCCTGTTTAAGGAAAAAAGGAGGGCATGTGCGGACCTAAAGGTGGTGGGGTGGGGGAGGGGGTAAAATGGGGACATTTTAAGAAGAATGCATGGACAGGACAATAGGGAGTTACAGTATAAAATTAAATCGCAAAAACTTAAAAGCTTCTTGATAGATCACCCAGAAATAAAAATATTACACACACAATGTATGAATTTATGACCTTGACCTTTGACCTCAAAATCAATAGAGTATTCCTTAGGCCATAGGTTATGGTATAAAATTTCACTGCAAAAGCTCAAAGGCTTCTTGAGATATCGCACAGAAACAAAATTGTTAAAACAGACAGAATATATGACTATGACCTCTTACTTTTTGAAATAAAAATCAATAGAAGTCTTTCATTCTCCATGGACAGCTGTTTCATTGCAAAAGCTCGGACTTTTTAGATACATTATACCATGCAGAAACAAAAGTGCTACAGACAGAATACACTGTATAAGTCAGTTTTCTAGTGTAAAATATCATATTTTGTAAGTAAAATCTTTCTTAATCTAACATAGAAAGTGTATTCTTTTAATGAATGATGAAATTACCATAATGCCACTTTAAAAATATGGAGCACAGTCATTACTTAAATAGCATATAGTAAATAGCTCTTTACATTTTACAGAAAGAAAAAAAATCTGTTTAACCAAATGTAGTTACAGAATTACTTCAATAGCAAATAGTTTATAGTTCTTTACACTATACTAAAAAAATATCTGATTTACTAATATGTAGTTACAGAAAAGAGGAAAAAACTAGAGGAAAAAGGTAGATTGCTCTGCATGCATGCCTTCTGTATGTGTTTTTTTGACTGCAAATACTTTAACATAATTAGAGTACATGTATTGGTATAATTGTCAAGTACATGTTGTCTGTATAGTATGATTTATAATATGTGGTTGTAACATCTCAGAAATGAATTTTTAAAAAAATGTAAACCAACTTTCTTTCATTGTATTTTTATTTTCCCAGATTAAAGCATGTTGTTATTTGAATACAGTAGTAGATTTTCTTTGAATTTAAAAATTCCTCTATCAAAAGAAAAAATATTCCTTTCAAAACACAGAATATAACTTGTTGAATGATACATATGGAAATAACGAACAGTATTCAAGATCAAAAATCAAAACAGCAGAGGTGGGATCAGGTGCCATGGAAGAATGAGCATCCCCTGTCGACAAGTCACAGCCGCTGTGTGCTCCTTGTCATGATCGGGAAAAAGCAGAAAAATCTGACCTTAATTCAGTGTATAAATAATAAACTAACAATTAGGCCAGCATTTTTTTATTTTTAGGTTTACAAACCCGCCGCTCAGGTTTTTGAATTTTCAGAAAAAAAATAAAATTGAGAAAAACAGATTTTTTTTCTTTCCGATGTCAAATTTGAGTCGGGATCGAGATTTCAAATTTACGAACTCGTACTTCCGGTTTTAAAAAACATGGCGGATAATGAAGGGAGATTTGTGTCAAATCCATAGCAGCACTAAAGCTTGGTTTAATGTAAATATTTATCGATAGGAGTGCCATTTAAAACATTTAACCCGTTCAGAGAACAATAAAATGCTGACGACTTTGTTGCAAAGTGACATGTTGGTGAGATAATTATGTATCCGTATTCAAAAGTAACTGTCTTTAATTGTAAATTATTTTCCTCCCACAGGTTTAAAACTGCCCATGGTAGCTATTGTCAGAGACATTGTTTAGGTTTCTGTCATAACTTACAGTCTTAGCATCATTCTTCAGAAAGGGGTCGCTTATGCATCAGATGTAATGAATAAAACTATGGGAGAAGTTAAGTCCATTTGAGGAAGAAATAAACAATAGCCTAAAGGAATAAAATATTTCAACTATTTAAAAACAAGAATATACAAATATATACAGGCATGTAGTATCGTTTATGGCAGCCAGAAAAATTATTTTACACTTAATTGAAAAAAATTCCACCCTACTCCTCAATACTCATTGGGAATACTCCCTGTCTGTTTTATGAAAGGAATTATTACTTTTATAGCTCTCGAGTATATTAATATTTTAGAATGAATTTCTACCTAACACACATTGAAAACAAAAATGAAGATATATAAAAAGAGATTTAAAAAATTGATTTTTTTTAAAATCTGTATTTTGTCCAATATCAAAAGATTTATATCACTGCCCCCAACTGGTAGATGATGAAATAAACAATTAAAGGTTGTATTTTCCCCTTTGTAACCCTTATGTGTCCAGTGGCAAGAAGCCTGTTAGGAGAGCATTAAAAAAGAAGCAAAAATTAATGTAGAAAAGTCGATAATGTATCCAAAATATAATTTTATTTTTTTTTTTATTTCCTCCTCCTACGGGACTTTTTCATTCTGATGTTCGTAAACCTAAAAATAAAAAAATGCTGGCCTTAGTATGAAGCTAGGTTAGGAAAGAGCAATGTCTCTCCATATTTGTAAAAATCTAGTTTTAAGTGATGCAATTAAAAGAAAGTTGCTTTACAAATATGAGTTGTGCATTGTTAACAAACATCTTAATAACAAATTTCCTTTAACTCTGATTCTATTGTTGATATTTCTTGTGCTATGTTTTTACTTGTCGCCATGATGAAAAAGTGCATCACTATCAGCTACTTTATTAACAGTGTAATTAAGTCACTTCAGGAATGTCTGGGCTTCAGTGTCCCTATTTACATGTAATCAAGTGAATTTTTTTTTAATTTAAAGGAATGGTTTGAATATAATTTTGGATAAATATTAATAATTGGTATTTCTGAAAATGAAGACTATGGAAAAGAAATTTATAAATAAACTTTTCTTCTGATTATCTTTTACTAGTTATTTTACATTTTGAGTTGTACCCTGTCAAAATCATCAAATGGGCATGTAGCACAAAACTGTTCATTTAGGTTATACCGTATTCCTAAATGTATTTACGTGCATTTTTGAAAATCAAATGCATGAGCATAAGAGTTAATTGATAGCTCTTTTGAATAAAAAGATCCATTTATTATATTGATACACATAAAAGCATTTAGTTAAAAGATAATGATAGGAAAATATTGCAAAAATGTTTTGTTCTTTTTTTTTCAGAATCAGTGGCTGAACTGAGAGAAGATGGTTGAAACAAAATTCAGCCATTACAAGTGATGCAGAGGTCAGAATGTCTTTCAAAAGTTTAAGAGTGGACTCGAGTACTCAGCTTTGTAAATAGCCTGTCTGAAGACTGCAGATAATGCTTATGTTATATTTTATAAATATATACACATGTGATATAGACTTGATTTTTACCTATAACATTGCTGACTTTTTTGGCATTTTCATGGTATTACGTGTTTATTAGTGTAAAGTATTAATTTTTTGAAAAAAAAAATTGTACTCTTTTTATGTATATTTCATTATAAAATTATAGTGACATACAATCTTTCTACAAATACTGTATACAGGGAAATATTCGCCCCTGTTTTATTTTTGCCCCTTTTGCCCTTACATCGTTTGGGCGAAATTAAAAAGGGGCAAATTCAAAATATACAATATATTTTCTGAAACAAAACTGTGACTGGACAAATTTAAAACGGGGCAAAATTGGTTGCAAGTGTGAAAGGGCGAAATTTAAATGGGGCGAAAATAACCCTGTATACAGTAATTTCTAAAAAGGAATAATCAGTGGTATTAATTGTTCACATTTTATATAAATTTTTATTCCTTTGTGGTTTTGATGATTTTTTTTTTTTTACATATATTTTTATTATTTCTAATTTTATAATTACTCACAAACAAATCTATATACAATCACATTGCATCTACCAGTATGTGCAGTTTTATTTTGGATGTTATTTCTATGGAATATATTATCTTTACTAAATTTTTAGAAACATGGTATAGATGAACACATGTACATAAATTTTAATCACCTCACTTTGAAGAACTCTTTTTCAGAGCAGAAAAAGTAGACCAAGTAGGTAAAGGAAAATGATTTTAAAAATTAATTACAATGTTTTCTTAGTTATTTTTTTCACAGGAATTGCAGTTTAATTAAACTCTTCTGTCTATGATGCAAAACATAAGCAATGGCCTTTATGACAGATATAACTTTCTTCAATTATCATTACTTAGTTGACATTTCTTCAGGAAAAAAGGTTTTTCTAGTGTTATTAGCTGTTAGTTGTTATAAATTATAATTAAAACAGATTTACCAAAATGATTCATATTTGATCACTGAAATGCTGTGCATTTGACATTGGTGATGGAAACCTAGGATTTATATTTAAAATACTGAATATTGTAAATCCTTTATTGTGGAAAGAGAGGTTTGATAAATTAATGGTTGTATTTTATTACAAATATATACAGATATATCTCAGTTAACAATGGTTGAAATAAACAATTTAAAAATAATGCAATTTTTTTTTTTTTTTTTTTACACTTTTACAAAAAGATTTAAAGGGTGAAATTCCAGCATTGCAAGTGACATTTACTTTAGGTTAGCACACAGGCCTTTAGATCGCTTAGAAAAAAAATTTAGGTGTTAAAAAAAAAAAAATAAAGGTTTGATATTCTTTACATAGGGTACCTACTTTTGCCAATAAAATTCTTATAAATCAAATGCTTTACAATTGTACTTTCTATCCATATCTATTCATATATAAACAAACTTCATTACTACCAAAGTTCATTCCGTAATTCCTTATACTTCTCGACATAAAATGAAATCAATTCCAAAATTGACCTTAATTTTTTTACTCGACATCAGCTCGGCAATCGGCAATCCTCGGCTGACTCCGCTACGCTCCATTCAAACTGTGCAATATGGAACACCAACACTGCCTTATAGCATACAACTATGCATGTATTATGTCAATTTATCATTACGTGATGTGAGCATATCTTTACGTTATGCCAATTCTTTATGAGATTATGTAAAAATATCTTTACATCATGTCAATGCTGCATTACATGAAGTAAATACATCCTTTCATTATGTCAGCACTTCATAACTTGAAGTCTGAAAATTCATTATGAAGCGATAATGTGTTTACATTGTGTTAAAACTTTATTATGTGAAATGAATGTTTCTTTACATCATTTCAAATATGAGAGGTCAAAATTGCATTACGTCAAGTGAATTGTGTTTTATAATTAAACTCATCATTACATGAAGTCAAAAATCCATTCCTTTTCGAGAGTGTATATTTTTATTATATCAAAGCATTATTACATGATATGGGTTTATCTTTATTTTACGGCGAGAGCATCATGATGTGAGGTGAACACATCTTACCTTTATGTCAGTGCTTTATTACGTGGTGTAAAAAGTGTATGACATTATGTGAACATATCTTCATATTATATCAACACTTTATCACATTATGTCAAAACTCTATTCCGTGATGTGGATATATAATTACGTTACTGAGTATGTCAACTCTTTCTTATGTGATCTTAAAATATCTTTATATTGTGTTAACTCATCATGTTGATTCCAAAAGTGCATTACCTGATGTAAAAATACATTTACATTATCTCAAAGCTGTATATCTGGTATAAAATGAATGTTGTGTTTTTTTCAATTTCGATGATACGGAAGAATAGAGGCAAAATATCATGGTTCCCAAACATAACTTTACAATAGAAAATGTAATGTTCATTGAAAGTACAGCCCCAACCCCCACTTTTTGTTGAAGTATAGTCCACTGAGGGTAATGTAGTATATCTGACAAAAAAACTCCTCCTACAGTTTTGGTCGAAATAGGATTTCAATTTTTTTTTTGGCTTCTCAATAACTTGGCACGAAAAAGATGATACGTCACACACTGGAATTAGTAATTTTTTCAACTATTCCAGGGCCAGAATTCTATTACAAAAAATCTACCAATCCCTCATCTAAATCAATTGAATATGCCTTAGTAAGGTGAACACATATCAGTAGCGGATATTTTGAACCAAAAAAAATTGTCCAAGCCTGAAGGGGGACGGTTTATGGTTGGAGACCAAGGGGGAAAGCAGAGAAGCTCGCAGGCTTTATAGTTTTATAAAAAAAAGTTTTCAACTTAATTCAGCTAAACTTAATGTGAAACTTGCAATGTCCTACAAAGTAAAACCAATAAATGTATTAATTTTTTGTACATGTAGATTTTGGTCACTTCGGGATTTCCTCCACCCAACCAACCAGTGCACGTGTGTTATACGATGTGTTTACACTTTAAAAAAAAAAAGGAAAGTTCAAGACTGATAAAAAAAAAATTATGACAATGTACTTAGTAAGATCAGAAGTTTAAGACTTTTATCCAAAAAAAACAAACAAACAAACAAACAAACAAACAAATAAACAAACAACAATTCAAAATAAAAAGAAAAAAAATTGCTGCACGACTCATAATATTTGATTTATTTAATTATCAGATTAAAGTAAACGCCATGAATTTGACGGACTTTAATTCACAGTCGCGGTGTTAAGGCTTTGCACGTTTCAAGATTGTCAATCCTTTGTCGCTTAAAATTTTTATTTAAAGATGCCATTCCCAAATCGCTGAGATTTCTTCTACGGTAATTTTCTCCCGCCAATTTTAGTGCTCTCGGAACGCGGATTTCAATGTAAGTTAGCACACATAACGTTTGAATGAAGCGTAGCGGAGTCAAGATTACACAATACGGTATGTATATAAAGGCCGAGGATTTTTGCATAACGTAATAGTGAATCGACATAATTAGTGTGTTAATATCATAAAGAATTGACATAAAATAGGTTAACACAATGTAATTGTTGTTTAATTAAATGTCATGAAAAAACATAACGAAATGCAAGAATGTGTAAATTTAATGTCATAAAGATTGACATAAACAAAAAGTTTACAGTATGCAATAGTAGTGTGGGATAATATCATAAAGAACTACACAATATAATGGAAGGTTGACACAACGCAATAGTAGTGTGAGTAAATGTCATAAAGAGTTGACATAATGTAATGGAAGGTTGATACAATAAAATAATAGTGGGAGTAAATGTCATAAAGAGTTGACACTGCTTTCACAATGTAATATTTGTCTAACTGTCATATGGAGTTGACATTATGTATAGGAAAGTTCACACAATGCAATAGTAGTGTGAGCAATTGTCATAAAGAGTTGACATAATGTAAAGGAAAGTTCACACAATGCTATAGTAGTATGAGTTAATATCATGTAGAGTTGACATAATGTAATAGAAGGTTAACACAATGTAATAGTTGTGTGAGTAACTGTCATATGGAGTTGACATAATGTAATTGAAGGTTGACGCAGTGCAATTGTTGTGTTCTGCTATAAGGCAGTGACGGCGTTCCATAGTGCAAGTTATGTGCGAGGTACGAGTTATCCGAGGAACTCCGAGTGTTGTTGATGTAGACGTTTTCAAATTAACCTTACCCGAAAGGAATTATTACGGATATTGACTAAGAAATCAACTTTAAATTGTTAAAAGATTTTGCAAATAGTATGCAACTCTTCGCTGCACTTCAAACACTGTCTGTTTTCATGTGAACGACCAGGGGCTCAAGCTAATGTCGAGTAAAAGAAAGTAGGTCATTTTTGGAATTGATTTCAGAGTATCTCAAGAAATATTTGGAATTTCGGAGTGAGTTTTGGTAGAAATGAAGAATGTTTATCTATGAATAGATTTAAATAGAAAGTAGAATTTTAGAGCATTTGAATAAAAAATATTTTATTAGCGAAATTAGGTACCCAGTGTAAGAGTTCCATACCTTTATTTTTTTTTCACAAAATTTTTTAAGCGATCCAAAGGCCTGTGGGTTAGCAGCATGACAGCTACCATACAGGACTGTATGAATATGATGATACTAATATTTAGGAGCAGACTGCTATTAAAATGACCACAGGCACTAGTACTTGTCTCTTATACAGTGGACCCCCTGCTAAAAATTGGTAGTTGGTGCTTAAATACGAGTATGGATGGTATATCTACGGATTGACACTTGCTTGGGATGCTGAACCTGACCTATATTTGCAGGATAAATGTTTTTATAGTGGCTCAATATATATGGCTGGTTATGATTAAACTTGCATGGATGATACATCATCCAGTAGAAAGCATGCTACAACGCGATGGAAGTTTTAATTAAGAAATAAGAACATATGAGAAAAATTGCTGACGATAAAATGGAATATAATTGACTCGGGCAAGGTGCGTGGAACCACGAGCCTCTTGTCGTTTCTCTGAATAACAAGAAGATAGTCCAAATCTCGACCCCGTTTTTCATTTATAGATCATATATATTTTCTTGCATATATAATACGAGTCTGTACACTTGATTTTGCAACAAAGTTTATTTTGAGGTAACGATTTTTCCCCTTTTTGAGGGTGTGTATTAGATTATCAATCTGAAACCCCCTTCCTCGCATTTTCAGAT